AAAATGATTCAAAATGAAAAAAAAAATCTTAATATTTGTGGTGTTAGAAGTGATCGTGGTAGAGAGTTTGATAATGATGACTTTATTTTGTATTGTAATGAGCTTGGTATTGACCATAATTTCTCTATTCCTAGAACTCCTCAACAAAATGATGTGGTTGAAAGAAAAAATAAAACTCTTGAAGAAATGGCCCATACTATGCTTTGTGAGAATAATTTACTTAAATATTTTTGGGCTGAAGTCATTAACACTGCATGATATGTTGTAAACCGTGCTATGATTAGACTTATTTTTAAGAAAATCCTATATGAATTTTGGAAAGGTACAAAACTTAATGTTAGCCACTTGCGTGCTTTTAGTTGTAAATGCTTTGTATTAAATAACAATAAAGATAACTTAGAAAAATATGATGGTAAATCGGATGAAGTTGTATTTCTTGGTTATTCTCAACACAAGAAACTTTACTTGTTGAAGAATCTGTACACATTACTTTTGGTAAATCCAACAATGTTTTTTCCAAGAATCCTTTAAGTGATGATACTGTAGAAACATATCCAAGAACAAAGAGCATTTACATAACAAAAAATGACGAAAATCCATCTCCTAAACACAGAGAAGAAATCACAATGGAAAATCTTCAAGAAAAATATACCCGTCCAAAAAATGAATCAAAGCTACCAAAAGAATGAAAGTACACCCATGGTCATCCTAAAGATCTTATCATAGGTGATGCAACGGAAGGTATAAAAAATCGCTCCTCAATTAGAAATATTTATGGTATTTAGCATTTTGTTTTGCAAATTGAACCAAAATTGTTTTTAGAAGTTGAAAGTGATGAAAATTAGATTTTAACAATTCAAGAACTAAATCAGTTTGAAGGAAATGAAGTTTGGTTTTTGAACTCATGACCTAATGATCATCCTATTATTGGTACAAAATGAGTTTTTCGAAATAAAATTGATGAATCCAGAGTTGTTACTCGAAACAAAGCTAGATTGGTAGCCCAATGTTATAATCAAGAAGAGGCCATTAATTTAAATACAACTTTTGCACCAGTTGCTAAACTCAAAACTATTAGAATGTTACTTGCTTTTGTGTGTTTTAAAGATTTTAAATTATATCAAATGGATGTTAAAAGAATTTTTTTAAATTGATATATTTCGGAGAAAGTTTGTGTTGAACAACCTCTCGGTTTTGAAAATCATAAACACCTAGATCATGCTTTCAAACTTTCAAAAACTTTATATGGGTTAAAACAAGCTCTAGAACATTGTATGAAAGATTGATTAATTTTCTAGTTGACGAAGGTTTTTCTCAAGGAAAAATAGATACAATTCTTTTTATAAAAATAAAAAAGGAGGATATGCTAATTGTTCAAATTTATGTTGATGATATTATTTTCGGCAGTACTAATGAAAATTTGTGCAAAGAGATTACTAAGGATATGCAGGGCAAATTCGAAATGAGTATGATGGGAAGTTAAATTACTTCATTAGACTACAAATTAAACAAACAAAGGATGTGAGACATTTAAATCAAGGAAAATACATCAAGGATTTACTCAAAAGGTTTGAAATGCATTCATCAAAGCCTGCAGTAACTGCAATGAGCACATCAATCAAAATTGATACAGAGTAACCTATGGTGACGAAAACTAGTGAAGAAAATAAGATTCGTCACTAAATAAAAATAATTCGTGAGGAATTTATAAATTTTGTCACATATAATAAAAAAATGAAAATGATAGGTGATAAAATTTATTTTCGTCAATAAATACTTCATTTTAAGTGAGGAAAAATTAAGTTTCGTCACCAAAAATTTTCCCGCTACTTTTTTTTTTTGTGGCGCCAAAATTTTGAGACTTTTGGTGAGAAAAAAATTTGTCACTAATTATAAAATTATTTGTGAGGAATATATTTTCGTCACCAAAATGTTTTAATATTTTTGATATCTTTTGGTGATGAAATAATATTGTCACTAATTTTGGTGGGAAATTTTTGATATATTGAGCGGCAATTAAAAAAAACATAGGGTATTAATTTTTTTTACCCCTTTTCTGTTTATCATCTCTATCTCTCTCTCTCTCTCTCTCTCAAAATAGGGTATTAAGTTGTCTTACCTCTTGCTCCTCCACCACGCCGATCGCCATTGTCGCCTCTACTAGCCTTGCCGATTGTCGCCACCACTAGTAGCCTTGTCGGTAACTGCCACATCTTCTTCGCTCGGTGATTTAGTACGTGATTTCTCTTTGTTCTTTTTCTGGTGTCTCTCTCTCTTATTCTCTGTATTGGTATGGTAACGAAAATTAGCGAAGAAAACAAATTTCGTCACTAAATAAGAATAATCCATGAGGAATTATAAATTTTGTCACGTATAATAAAAATATAAAAATAATAGGTGACAAAATTTATTTCTGTCAATAAATACTTACTTTTAGGTGAGAAAAAAATAAGTTTCGTCACCAAATATTTTTAAGATCTTTTGGCGAGAAAATAATGTTGTCACCAATTTTGGTAGAAAAATTTTAATGTATTGAGCAGCAATAAAAAAAAAAAAAGAAGAAAATATCAGTGTGTTTGGTTTCAGTTTTCTAAAAACGGTGTGTTTTGTTTTTCATATTTTTTAGTTTTTAGTTAATATTTTTTAAATTTTAAGTAATTTTTTTACTTTTTTAGATACACCTTATTTAGATGTATCTAAATAGTAAAATATTTGCGAAAAAATATTTTAAAATATTAATAAATACACAAAAATATGAAAAATGTAATGAATTTTCATATATATTTTATATTTTTTGATATTTAGTGTATTTGTTAAATATTTTTTTTCACATATATTATACTTTTTAAGTATATTTATATTAGTATATTTATATTAAGTGTGTCTAAAAATTTAAAAAAAAAAACTTAAAATATTAAAAAAATTCATGAAAAATATTAAAATATGAAAAATAAATAAATAGAATTTTGTGAAAACTATATTTTGTGAAAACTAATTTTTAAAAACTGGAACAAACAAGTTAATTTTTTTTTATTCCTTTTCTGTTCGCCATCTCTCTCTTTCTCTCTCAAAATAGGGTATTAATTTTTTTTGCCCTTTCTCTTTTTTTCAATTCTCGCTCTCTCTCTCTCTCTCTCAAAACACACACGTAATACCTCTCCGCCATAGCTTTTTCCCTTGCTACTGCACCTTCAACGACTACACTACCGTCGGCCTTTCCTGTATAAATAGGGCTCCACTTTCTACATCAAACCCAGGTTCTTTTTTCTCTATTTTTTCCTTGTAGTGCATCGATTTAATTGAGTTGTTTCAAAAATTTTATGGGTTTCAATCTGCACATTTTTTTTAGCTTATAATCTGGCTTTATTGTTGATTTGGTAATAAATTTGGAATTGTTTTCTTTATTGAGCGATTTAAAAGCTTTGATTTATCATTTGGGTTTTCAAGTTTATATGTATTTTTTGGGTGTTTCTTGGTAGTTAATTGTTAGCCATGAATGCTCTGCTTAGGGATTAGATTTGTAAAATAGGGATTCAATTCTGGTGATTTGTGCTTCGTTTCCTCATATTGAACAAAGATTTGGGGAAAAAAATTATAGAATAAAAAAATTTGCTATTTTATTTGAATAGAAATTTCTTAAATATATTTGGGTTTACTTTATTTTTTAGTTAAGAAAGTGAAAGACATTGATCTTGTGAGTACAATGAAACGAAAATGAAAGAAAATGATGAAGATTTGAGGAAGAAAATCAAGAGAGAGTGAGAGAGAGAGAGAGAGAGAGAGAGAGAGAGAGTTGAATTTTGCTTTGGTTTCATTCTCTTCTTTGAAGAAGAAGACAAATTTTATCCTGTGTGGGTGTGTTTTTTGTACAACTTAGTTAATTATTCAGTGTGGTTGTGTCCTAGGATGGTTGTTACATCCTAGTGAATTAGTTATTTAGTGTGGTTGGGTCTAAAATTATTTATTACATCCTAATTGATTTGAGACAATTAGATGATTAATTTTAGATCAGAAATTATCTTTTTGTTTACATACTGAAATTGATATTGCAAGTTGTACCTGGTGGAGAGTTAGTGCCTTGGTTGTTAGCATTCTTTGTAGTTTTTATTGTTTTATGGTGTTTGTGTTGTCACAAACAATGTTCCGAGATACATTTTTGTTGTAGCTGAAAATCTCTGGAACTATTCATTGATGATCCCCAGGGTGTGGACTCTGCTGCTTCTCATAGGGTGTGGGGTATTTTGGTATGTTTTATTGAAGTTGGTTTATTGGTTTGTACTCTATATATATATATATATATATTATTTTTTTCTATTTTTGGAAGTAGATGAACTTGTTTGGAGAGCTGTAGGGCTATGACAATATATTTAAACTGTTGGCATAAAGATTTGTAATTATTATTTACATCTACTTAAATCCAGAAGATAACCTCGATTGCATAGCTAGAAGCTTGAAGGTATTTTGTTTTTGGACCTCTTTCTATATATATGTTGCCTTCACTTTATTCTTTCTAAAGAACATGTGCTTATATAAAACATATGTATATATACATGTATTATTTCTAGATTTTATGGCCAGGATAGTTTATTACCCTAGAAATCTAATTGTTCCATGTTTTTTTCTTTCTAATAGAATGTTGCCAGGATAGTTTATTACCCTATAAATCTAATTGGCCAGGATAGTTTATTACCCTATAACCTCCAATGCTTGTATCTGTTAGAATGTTGCCAAAAACTTCTTCAGCAAAATTGTGTATTTTGCTTCTAGGAACGAAAAGATTGAGCCATGGGTGTGGAACTTCCCACAAGCCTTTTGATCTCGGACACATGAACTCTATCCAAGAATTCTACATATGAAACTTCTAATACGAAAAGTGTTGATGAGATATAGCTTAGTTAGGATAAGCTCTCAATTTCCTGCACCAAGCAAGCAAGCAGGTATTAGAGCCATTGCGTTTATTTGCTTCTTTACTAACTATAGTGGAGGATTGGTGGGTCATGACATGCCTCACTTGGTATATTATATCATCTTTTTCTAGGTTGATGTTTTTGGCCAATTCAAGACAGTAAAGTGTTCTTCCATCTGATTGAAATTGGTTGGCTTGAACTGGGTCTTGCGGATTGAATGATGATCTCCAATTATTCAGGAGACCTGTCTTGTTTATTATCACAAATCCTTCAATGTAATTGAACGTGTTCTCTGCAGATATCAAATGCTTCTGGTCTCTGATGAATGCGGAGAAGTCTGAGTACAAAACTCTTATCCATTTTACTTGTTCGGAATGGCATGGTGTTATGAAACTGGTAAATTGTACTATACTAGAGCTTATTTTGAAGTTTACAAATATATGTGTGTTTTTACCATTTTTGGTGCTGGTTCTAGAGAAATTCTTGCTCGTGTGATTATGCCAAACTGGCCAATTCCTCCAAGGACACCATGAAAGAGGTTTGCATTCTGTTTCTCTGAAAAATTTACTACCTCCCCTTTTCCTACACAATTTCAGTAAATTTTGAATGCAAATACAAATTCTAAGAATGTGATGAACTGCTGTTCAGTGACCAATGGTTATGTATCTTTTATGAAAACAAGGTCTGATTCTCAGACAATATGATGAGGAAAACTAGAAACTTCCTAGTCCAGTTTTTAATGAATGCAAAATAGGTGGAACAAAGTTAAAGTTGAAGTTGTTGTATGGTTTTTCCATCTTAATCTTACATGTGTCATATGTTGATCTAGTTCTCAAATTGCGTAATAAGCCTGTTTGGTGCAATATTTTTTATGGTTAATTATTCCAAGATCCCCTAAACTATTAGTGAATATCATCTTAATCCTCATCATCTATGAACTCTTATATATTGACCTCTTAACTATAAAAATCGTTCAATTGCCGCCTTCTAAAAGGTGGTCTAAGTGATACATTTTATAGTTGAAAGGATCAAAATGTACATGTTCATAGATGAGGGGTAAGCTGATTTCTCCAAATAGTTGAGGAGATCTTAGTGTAATTATCCCTATTTTTTTATACTGAAAGTTGATAATCAATAAGCAGAAGTTAAAAATATCATTTCCTCAACTTTTTGATAGATTGCACTAGGCACAGTGGCACAGATTCCCAAAATTAAAAGAGTTAATAAATTGCACCAAGCAGGCCCATGCAATCTATGAACATGCGATGCTGTCCTGTTACAAATTTATTTTTTTATTTATTTTTTGGGTACAAACTTGTAACTGCTTCCAACTGGTGGACATTACCGATCTGAAGACCATGACGGAATGCCTGCCCACTAATCCCTGCATTTGACAAAGTACCGCCAACTGTGAGATGTAGGTAATCTGTCCAAGACTTCGGTGCTAACCCATGTTTCAGGCTTTCATGCAGGATATTAATCCACAATTTGCCACCATAGACATCTACATAAGGATGTTTTCCAATGTAAACCTGCATTTCCATTCCACTGAATGATTCCATGTTGATCACGACTCCTCTGTGAGCTTGTGCCTGGCCCTGCATTTCCATTCCATTGTGAGTTTTCTTAATTTGTTTAATTATTTTCCCATAACTCATTGAATTCAGCCAAAATTCCTCACCTTCTTTGTGGTGTATTTTGATTTCTTTTTCTTGATCATATTTTGTGGTTTTTGAATCAAAGAGGAAAGAGAGAGAGGTGGGGAATTCCTACTAAGTTTTTCACTTTTTTCTACTCGAAATCTGCTACAATTGTTTGATGTAGTTATTAAAATTTTTGTAAGCAAGATGCCTGTTTAGTGGTTCAGTTCTTATTTATTCTTCTACCTAGTTTAAAATGTTAAATAAAACATTTTTCATATTAACTATTTGCTTATGAGCTTCAGGTTGAACAATTGAAGTGAGAGGTTGCTGAGCTTCGACATGCCCTTGCTGATAAGCAAGAACAAGAAAATGTCATGCTTCAGATTTTAATTAAATATGTAAAAAATTGGTTCTTGTTCTCTCTTATGTGATAAAGATTTCTAACAATATATTGATTATGACTTATCTGATAGGTTTTGATGAGGGTAGAGCAAGAACAAAGGGTAACAAAAGATGCTCACAGATTTGCTGAGCAAGATGCAGCAGCTCAGAGATATGCTGCTCAAGTGCTTCAAGTTTTACTTTTTGATTTAAACTTATTTTTTTAGTACTGCTTTACTATAATGTTGAATGCTTGTGTTAATAAGAAACAGCTTCCTGTCTGTCAGATTTTCTGTCTTATGCATAGTTGTGGTCACCTTTTTTTGGAGTGTGCTTGATGCCTGTAGTGCATGAGCTATACTGGTTTTTAAAGTATGGTATTTAGAGGACACTTCACACGGATGAATAAACAGATTTGGCAGCCTAGTTGCTGCATTACCGTTTAACTAGTGTAGCTCTTGCAAACTCTCACTCTTTCTTTGATATTTAATTTTGATTTTTTTGAGCACCCATTGCATATGATTAAGTGTGATATATTGCTTCTTTAATAAGAAGTTGTTTATTTTGCAAAAATTTGTTTAGATGGTGAGCAATGGAATGATGGGTTGTTAGCTACAATAAGAGAGCGGGTATTTTTCTATTGAAGGCTTTTGATGTGATTGGATTTTCTTGTTTGTTGTTTTTCTCCTTTGAGCATAGATTAGATGATTGAAATGGTTGATGACAGATAACCTACATATTCCTTAAATTGGTTAAATTACATCTTATTAAATCAAAAAAAATTTCCTCCTCATCTTCCTCGTATGCTGCTTCTTGGTTAAAAGCACTATTATCTGTTCTATGTTTACATTTTCTTGCTTCATTAAAATTATTGTGGTTACTCTGGGGTTTATATCAGGTTCACATGGAGGTTGAAAGAAAAACAATGTAGGGGGATGCAAACATTCTGCCAGGTCCTCATTTTCATGAAAAAATTACATATAAAGTTGGAACTAAGGTATCTATTACACTAGTAGATTTGGCTAAAAGATTTCCTTATTCATCAACATTTGTATCACATCTTCTAGAGGATCTATTTATATTTGTTCAGCAAAATACTGAGGTTGATAAATATGAGGAGTAAACAATTGCTACTTGCAGCTTGAATAAAACTACATGTGACATTGACCGCTTTGTGCATCATGAGGATTATTTGAGGTGAGGGTAATAGGAGATCTTTCCGTGGAAGCTAGAAGTGTATGTATAGCCTGAGGAGTGCCATAACCTGGATCAAATTTTGGATTTTGTTGATACAACCCATGCAAATTAGAGATATCATGCAAATCACAAGGTAAACAAAGCAAGTAAGCAAGCACAAGAATCCAGTTAGTCTTTTTCTTTTAAAAAAATAAATAACTAAAATTATAGGATGCAAAATACAAGAAACTAGATTGTCATGGATCTTATCTTCCCATTGGCATCTGAGCATTGAACATTGTTTTTTTGTGTATGTGGAAGGTAGATCATATTAATAGAAATCACTTAGTATACCTACTATGGTCTAGTCCTATTTCATATTAATAGAAATCATTTAGCATATACGTATTGCACATTGGTCTGTTGATGTCCTTCTGGACATTGTAGTTATTTAAGTTGATGTCAATTGGGTCCTTCTGGACATTTTGGTTATTTAAGTTGATGTCAATACCTCCAAATGGACAATAGAGTGTTGGATTATTGAATGCATATACTTATTGCACATTGTTTTGTTGTCATGGGGAACATTAGATCACAACATATGTTAAATGTTAACTATTGACTTGTAGACTCTGACTGAAGAAAACCTAACTTGATTTTTGTTTAATTCTTCAGAAAACATGGTTCAAGGTCAACAATAAAGTGTTAGATGGGACTCTTTCCTTTTGTTTTTCTTCCCATTCTTTCCTTTCTTGTCCCATGGTCTGTCTCATATCATTCCTCTCCCTCCACTCATATGACACCTACACAGCTTCTCTTGCCGTGAGGGATTAATTTATTTACAGTGATTTTTTTTCTCAGTACTAATTTAAGTAGTCTATTGTTAATTGTTAGTAATTGCTTTTGTTCCAAACATAAAGTTTGGCTATAGTGATTGATCAATACACATCATTAGTTTAATGATTTCATTAATAACATCTTAATTGTTCTCAGCTTAGCTGTCTTAAAAAATGGAAATGTCTCTCCTCAGTCTCGTATTCAACTATATAGCATTTTTCCATAAATTTTCCACCCCATTTTCATTTTCATTGTTTTTCTTTTCTTGGAGTTTTCACAGTTCAGAACTTAAAAGGTGATTCGTTGCCTTTAGAACTTGTGTTTAGAACTTTCTGTTTTCAGGTTGTTAGAGGGAGATGAGTTTAAAATTTTACTTCCCTGCAAGGGAGAGAAAGATGAGAGGGTGAAATGTGCTTGTCCACTAGGTGTTAGGGTTGGGTTTGGCCATGCATGGTGGTGTCCTGGTGGACTGTGTCTTGCTAAGTCACCCAACCTAGGTGTTTGAGGAAGTGGATACTGGGTTTTGTTTTAGAGGTGGTTAATAGCCATTGTGGCCCAATGAGGCTATTGTTTGGTGGTGGCATGTGAAATATAAGAGGAAGTGAGAAGGGGAATGGCAAGTGGGTCTGCTGCTATAGAAAGGAGGAGGAGGGAGAGGGAATGAAGAAGAAAAGAATAGAAAAAGGAAAATTGAAAAAGGGGGCAAAAGTATCATTATATATATTTCTTAACACACGCTCAATTTAGTGTGTTAACGCATGGTTAACTTAACCAGAATTTGCAACGTTTGCACTTTACTCCAAATTTCAAGAGGGTTATGTGTATATTTATAAACATGAAGGAGGTAAAGTGTTTTTGGGCAAAACCATATAAAATATAATTAACCCAAACTGTTTGGAGGTCTAATTGTGTTTTTATTTCAATATCTATTCGTGTGTATTTGTTTTTGTTTTTGTTTTTGTTTTTATGTTTGCTTGCATGTGTGTTTTGACCTTTTACCTCATTGAAGTTAAAAATAAAATAGGAACATATTTAGATTTAAATGAAAATGGTAACTCCTATAAAAACTATGGATTGATTAGTTTGTGAACACGTCATGTGATTCTCTTTGGTTCTTGTTGGCATTAGTGCTAGTGATACATGGTATTCTTGCAATCTTTTGTCATCTTCTGTTATCTGTGTTGCTTATCATTAAGGATCACTTCAACTCTTTGAAGTTTTGGATTGTTATATGCATTTCTATTAAATTGGTTTATAAAATAAAATTATTTAAATATGATTTTAGATGTAATTAATAACTTATTAATGTCTTTGATATTTATTTTCTTTGCAGATTGGTTTTTGATGACGTTTGGAAGCATATTTGCAAATCAAGATCGAGTGTTGAATTATTTATTTATTTCCAGAACTGATACTTAGTTGTAGTTCCAAATCAAGATTGAGTGTTGATTTTTTTTGTGGACTCCACGTTAGTTCATTTTGGGATTTGCTTTGATGATTTTTTTTGTTATACATAATGGATTATTATTAAAGTTGTTTGATGGATACATTTTGATTTATAATATAATGGTTTAGTAAATTTTTGTGTGGAGTGGTTTATAATAGCTAGTGGATTTCTTAGTACAATTAAAAGGTTATTAGGATACGAGCAAGGATATTTGTGAAATAATAATTTAAATTGAATATAAAATATGGAACAAGTTTAATGACGAATTTTTTCGTCATTTGTACTTGTTATTATGACAAAGTGATTATTCGTCACTAATAAACTTTTTTTTGTGACAAAATTTACTACAGTTTATAGATGAAAGTTTTTATTTATTTTGTTGTTTGGTGACTAAAAATTTCGTCATGTATATATATTTCTGACGAAATATATTTCGTCACCCATGTATGACTTTTGAAGACGAAAAATTTCGCCACCTTTACATCTTATTATGACAAAATTATTTCCTCATCAATGATCAACATGCGTGATAAATTTATTTGTCAACAAAAGTTATAAATATTGTACTGAACAACTATTTGGTGACGAAAATAAGAATTTTTGGCAAAAAAAGATTTTTTTATTGGTGACAAAAAATTATGACTTTGAAGACGAAAAATTTCGTCACCTTTACATCTTATTGTGACGAAATTATTTCCTCATCAATGTTCAACATGCGTGAAAAATCTATTCGTCAACTAAAGTCATAAATATGGTACTGAATAACTATTTGGTGACGAAAATGAGAATTTTTGGTGACAAAATGTTGTTTTATTGGTGACAAAAAATTTCGTCACTGAAGTAATTTCATTGGTGACGAAATTATTTTTCGTCACAGTGGTTTTTAGTGACAAACATTCAATGACGAAACCGGTGACGAAAATATTTCCTCACAAATCTATAGTGACGAAATTAGCTCTTTGGAGACAAAAAAATTTCGTCATTCAAGACCCAACTTGTGCGCAAGGTAAACCAGTAGATGAAAAGAAATATCGACGGATGATCGGCTCATTACTTTATCTTACTGCTAGTAGACCCAACATAATATTTAGTGTATGTGTGTGTGCACGTTTTCAATCCATATCTAAAGAGTCGCACATCAAAACAGTCAAAAAGTATTTTCACATATCTTGTTGACACTTCAAATTTGGGTTTATGGTATCCTAAGGGAACCACTTTTGAACTTTTCGATTACTTGGATGTCGGCTTTGCAGGATGTAGACTTGACCGTAAAAGCACTAGTGACACTTGTCCC